TCTACATATACAACAACTGCTATTGGTTCTCTCCTATTAATTGGAATTATATTCGAATAGAGAGCTTAGCTAATGACACACATCAAACAAAAAAAGTGAATCATTTTAAGTAAATAAAGATCAATTGAAGTTATTAAGTTGGTCCGTATACACTTTTCTTGTAAAAAAACTGTTCAAAGATTGTTCATATATTTTAATAAAGAACTATAACCACGAGTACAACTGCTTAAACTACACAGTCTATTTCACCACCATTAAGCCTGGTTCCCTAAAAATTGGGTTAAAGTCGGGTGTGGTTTTCCATATGCCCTAATCTTGAAAACATCGACGTAATACAACTACCACCAAAAACTTTTTTTAGTAAAACATTTAGAAAGTCAAACAAAATTATTGGAAGTAAATGCTTTGTATCTGCAAGAATCATTGAAGATAAAAATGTGATGCCAGAAAGAATCCAAAGTCGATCAAATTTTTATATAGGCTAATGGGATTTAAGTGTGCGATATATAGTCTAGCGAATGAACAACTAGACTGGAGAATACAGTGTTTCAAAGACATGTTATAAGTGTACCAAGTAGATCTAAACACAGTCAAGTAAATCAACCATTGTAACTAATCGTGAAACGTAATGTTGAGACGAATTAATTGTGACAACAACTAAACTTTATACTGCAACATAACGAAAACATAACTATTACCATTTCTACTATTACCACTTCTACTATTTCTATTTTTCAACTACTACTACTCTCTACTACTACTTCTGCTTCTACTTCTTATATTATTGTTATTACTATTTCTACTACTATACTATATCTAATACTGCTTATACTATCGCTTCTAATACTAATTCTACTACTCCTATTTTTACTACTACTTTTATTACTACTTCTACTACTACTACTATGTCTAGCAGTGGTAGACATACTACTACTTCTACTTCTATTCCTACTTCTGCTTCTACCTCTTCTATTATTTCTATTACTATTTATACTACTATACTATATCTACTACTGCTTCTAATACTAATTCTACTACTATACTATATCTACTACTAATTCTACTACTACTTTTATTTCTACTACTTCTCTACTACTTTTACGACTATTTCTACTTGTACTACTACTTCGACTTCTATTACCACTTCTACTATTACCACTTCTACTATTTCTATTTTTCAACTACTACTACTCTCTACTACTACTACTACTACTACTACTGCTTTTACTGCTATTACTACTTATTACCTCTAATACTTACTACAGCTTACTACTATACTTACTATAATAGAATCAATTTTTGTAATATGTTTAATAATCTCATCACTATTACTACTAATAGCACTACCAATGGCACTACCAATTGTATATAAATGTTATTAATTTATTATCAGTTTTCAACTCTTAACTTAATAAGTATTAAAATAGATTTGGTTTTTTAATTTTTTAATCTATTCCATAGCAGTTGGAATAATAATTTTAAGTGGCGTTGCAAAACGAATATCTTCTGATCACAAATTTTAATCGACCAAATTTTTTTAAACAATTATCCAAATAATTTATTCATACTGCATTGGCTCATATTATTTAGCAACATACTGAATTCGTTCTAATTGGATGTATTGGTATGGATTTCGATTGGATGCAATTTGTATCGGCTTGCAAGCTATCATAATTTAAATATTTTTGAGTTGAGCTACTCAAATCAAAATATGCAATAATAATAAAAGGAGTAGAAAAACCATAAAACATTCATAATCTGGATTCTAGAATATTCGAAATAAATTCAATGTGCAATTGTGAATGCATTATTTTGTGGAAAATCTAATTGCAAAATCCCAGCATACAAAATTGTGCAAAATCATTTCAGCTGAAAAAATGCAAATAAATCGTTTAAGTGTCAAGAGCTGCATAAATTTGCTACAATTTAAGGTATTTGCTACTCTGCTACTTTGCTGCGAATAATGTAGCTATCAGCTGCGCAAAGCTTCAGCTTCAACGAAATGAGTTACCCATGGAACCCATGGAATAGATAAACGAGGAACCGGACGGCTGGTAGGGATGGGAATGAATGAGATACGCACTGCAACTGTATCGCATTATATGCCATTGTGCTATTGTGCTATTGTGCTGTGTGTCTTGAATTGTGTAGTATATTCTGTCGTTTGTTATGTTTCATATTGTGTTGAATTGTGTAATTGTGTGATTGTGTGCTTGCTTGTGTCTCTGATATTCGGAAGCAAACAAACTTACTTATGGGTATGTGCGCTTGTGAGTATGTAAATCATTTTAAAATTATGCAGCAAATAATTTTGCAAATTAAATGCTCCTCGCAAGTACACGTCCCTAAAAAATACTTTTACCCGAAAAACATTCACAAAATGATTCCCAGATTTATATATCTTCCTTTTATTATTATTATTATTATTATTATTATTTTTTCCGTTTTTAATTTCAATTTTTCTATTTTTTTGGAATTTTATTTTTTTTATTTTTAATTTGCATAAATTATGCCAAACCATGCGCGACAATTTTATACATGTGAAGGAATTTGCATATTTACTAACTAATGCAAACACATATGTATATGTACATGTATATGCAGTATTTCCCAGGACCTTCCCTTCTATTGTAAGCCAGTTTTTGTGAAAGCGGGCAAATAATCGGCGGCGCTACAAGAACATCGCTCCTCCACTTGCAACAATGTTTTTGGCTAGCATTTTCGGTTGAGAACGTCTAAGTGCCTCCCAAATCTGTGCCTCTTGGGGAACAATTTGTAAGCTGCTGTTCTATGCTTGCATACATAAAAATGATTATTTAATTCTGAATAAGTTGTATGCACACATGTTGCCACCCAGAGACACTGGAAAAATACTTGAGCGCTCACATAACTGTTTTTCGGCAAGCACTTAAAATGGCAGTTTTCATTTTATGGTCAATGTAGATGTTCTGGAATTCCGCTTTAATTTAGTCATTAACCTGTTAATGTCTTTGAAAGGCTTTTCCAAAAACACAATAAGCCAAGTGTGCAGTTTTTTTTTTTTGTACTAAAATTAAATTAATACCAGTGTAGGCTGTGTCAAATATTTTAAAAGTACCTTTAAAGCTATTAATCCGACGGCAAGCGGTTTTGTATAAATACCGGTGGCGGATGTGCCATAAATCACATCGCATTATAAACGATCGAATACTATAATAAAATACAAAGGAAGATTTCGATTTCTTGTGTGCCTAGATGCAGAGAAGGGTTTTGGTAAATTTCACTATATCACTCGCATCAACAAAACTTTCGATCTTTGGAATACAAAGGAGGATTACAATTTCTTATACGTCTGTATTAGAAACTGAGCTTAGAGATTAATTTCACTATTTTGAGGAATTTTATTAACCATACTGTAGTGTAGGTATTTTTTTTTGTTAAATATTACTAATTTTAGTAACATTTTTTTACTAAGCACTGACCCGAGAAACGTGAATGACAGAGCGTTCGTACATCAAACTTAAATCCGACACGATCAATATAAAAGTCAAATACCAGGATAAGAGGGGAGACTACGATTTTTTGCTTCGATTAAATGACAGAATTTCGTGCATTTTATTATTCTGGAGAACTTTATTTACTATATAATATAATGCATTGCTTGGATATTGCTTGGTACCTGAGAAACCAGCGTCTTAAGTTTCAAGTTCTTAAATTTATTACATGAACTAGAATTTGCCAGAAAAGTTACTGTATGAAATTTTTATATTATCACAAAAAAGTTTACAAAATCAAAATAATATATTATATATTAAATGTGATTAACTTGATGATACTCCATTCTAGTTTAAATGAGACTGGTTTTATAAAAATTGTTATTGGCGTGCACATTATCCACGAACTGGCAATCTAACCGCAGCTGTGGTACAAAGAAAGTTGGTGGCTGGAGAGTTTAGCATTGTAAGGGCTTTAAAAAAATCTCGCAAAAGTATTATATTAAGTTGCAATAAAGTATGTCAGTTTGTCATTGTACGTACTGTCGCAATGTTGTGTTCTTAATAAGAGTCAAAATTAGAGTGAGACAAAAGGGTTACCTAAAGTAGCAAAAGGGAAAAACTATACATTCATAAGAGCAAAATGAAAACAATAGTAATAATTTTCCTCAATCAATGAAAACTTTTCACAGAATATCAAACCAATATAATGAATTAAAAAGGAATATATTGAAATGTCAGAAAATATTTATTAGGCATTTAATAAGCATCGTCGGCCAGAACCTCAACGAGAATGGCCGAAAGCCATTTTCTGAAAACATTCTCAGGTATTTATAGAATTTATTGTGTGTAAACTCTTGGCCGAAAAATGGTATCATTTTTATTGATAATATAAAATATAAAACTGATGTGGCTTTATGCAACTTTTTGCTATTCCTGAAACTCAAGACAGCAAATTGTCTTCATACCATTCCTGTCTTTCAGCCCACTTTGACCAACATACGGAGAGTAATTTCAGCCGATGAGTACAAAAAATTTTTCGAAAAATTCCTTGAACCTTTCCAGCACTGAAGTAAAGAGGAGGCCGATCTTATCGGGTTTAGGACAGTTCTGTCTTCCTTCTTTGTGTTTGTTATATATTAAACTACAAGTGATGTAAGTGCATAGTAAAATTCCAAACAGTAGACTATGCAAAAGATTATTGGCGTTCTATAATACACGGGCTGTTAGAGATGGTAGGAAGTATATAAGTATTGCGAACAAATTTGAGAAGGAAGATATGTCACTGAAGATGCTTGTCATCAATACAGAGAATATTGATATTATATGTAAGAAAAGAAAAACAAAGTATACAGGATTTGTTTTTCGAGTTAGTAATTTATGTCTTTTTATATATGTGTAATAATATATTTTTTTTATTATTATTTCGGTATAGCATATTATGTATAAGAAAAAAATTCACGTCGTTTTTTGTTTATATTTGTGCAGTTTTTTTTTAATTTTCTTAATGAATTAATAAAACTTTCCTTGAAAAATTCTTTTTAAAAAATAAACAAACTTTTAAGTGAAATGTGTAGGGACAGTGTTACAAGTATAAATCAATTTAAATTCATTTATCCGGTAAATATATTTAGTTTTAATTGTACCTATTAATCCCACAAATTAATCTTTTTTATGATATCAGGTCTTAGATGGAATAGGATGTTTCGTATTTATGGCAATTATGTTAGCACTTTTATTTGCAGATTGGTCCAGATTGATTTTTGCGTCATTGGTACTTATACCCACGACGTTTGCCGCGGATATTTTCAATCTATTATTTATATGTTCACTGGATACTGAAAACGAAAAAGCAATAGTAAATGTTTTTTATTTCAAATAGTTTGTAATATACATTATAATTTTGATACTTTATTTAAATTTAATTATGATAGTCAATATTATAAAAATAGGTATACCCAGTCCGGTCGTAGTGGTCAATACATATAGTGTAATAAATAAGCTAAATGATATAAGTAATTTATTATTATATGAATATGTAAGATATATGATTTGATCGTGTTCAAAATATATTTTATATCTCATATGCTTGATTCGTTGCAATGACAGGTCGTCGGCGTTTAATTTCTTCATTTTACCATCACATTCTTCACAAGAAAATATTTGCTGAGTCTTACTATATACCATATAACTACAAATAATTTTAAAGACATCTTTGTCAGATAAAACTTCGTGTTGATGTTATATATAAAATCGTTCTGAAGTATTCTGTTTCTGTGAGGGCTTAAGCCATCTAGAAATTTTAAAAATTTATGCTAGTTTTTTAATTTGGAATCATTTTCTCATTCATAAGAAAGTAATTATATAAACTTCACAATTAATTTCCATTAAGTTATTTTGCCAATACGTGCGAAGAATATATATTAAAATTAAATTATTTAATTAATTATTATTTAAATAATTAAACTACTTAATAATAAAAATAGTTTTCTTCAATTTAAATTTTTTGTTTATAAGTATCTCGTATAAAAATGAGATATTTAATAATATCTCAATAGATACTAATAATATTGACTAGTAGAACTATCACAGAAATACTGTTTTTTTTTTGTTGTTATCTTAATTAATAAAATATACATTCTTAATTAAATTAATTAATTTTAAATTAATATTTCTCAACTTTTAATGTACTTTTTTTTTAGTATGTAGTTTGTCAGTACCTCATGGGATTGATCTGTGCTTTAGATGGTACTCTATTATTGCTGATCACTCTTCAATATAAGTGGATGATTCAGCATTGCTTAAGTGTTACTTCCTCAGTTTACTTCGTTGGAAGTGTACTGCATGTGTTGGAAGGAAATTATGCTCAAAAACTGCTAATTGATACCTCCTGGGCATAAAACAGCGTCTTTCGCAACTAATTGCTCAAAATTATTTTTTTAGGAAATGTTCTTACAATAAAACAATTAAGTGTAAAGAAATTTTGATGATAAAAGTAAATATTAGCATAACGCCAATATAATTCGAGTCCAATAATAAATTATACAACGTCCGTGAACTTTTCAAAACTGTTAGGATTTGATTATAAACTGAGAATATATTGTCGATCATTCTAAGTAAGCGAATATATCTGTTAGACACCTCTATTTATTAAATAAATAAACAGCAAATAGGAAGAAGTTATATTAAAACACGTGTGATCCTAAACATCTAAACTGAAAAATTATACCCAAACATACATGGTAACAAAGAAAATGCATTAAAAGCACCAGCCAACAGCACCAAAAAATATATAAGCCATGTAACATAAACGCAAACAAGAGCAATTTGATAGCATCCTATACTATGGTAAAATGACTGTAAATAACAAACCAAGTTCATTATATGCAATATTTTTTTAAGATTTTTAGACATTTTAATTTCGCAGGATTCTAATAAAATAGACTATTTTATGTTAATGTTCAGTATCAAGCCAAATCCGAAAACGGTTTGTAATAGCCAATTACATAAGCAGGGAATGGAATATACGAAGAATGGATGACTTTTATGTAATCTTCTATAGATATTTCATATATATATTGAAAACAGTACTATAAGGCAGTATCCATTTTGCAAAAGAACTTAATTCTTTTTTAAGTTTAATTTAGCTAAAAGAATATGAGAATTATAAATAAATGTAGAAAAAATAATTTGCATCATTAAAGAAATTTACACTGAAATCAAAAATATAACTATAAAAATATATAATTTTTTGCAATATATACAGTAATCTTTAAATCGGATTGTAGTGTAAGCACTAATCTCACGTAGTACATAGAAGTGTTGGCAGATCTCACACCCTGCCTCAATCACCGAATACTTATTACGTTTTCGATTAGTAAATCTGGTGTAAGTTTTTCAATAGAGATGCACTTTTAATGTACTTTTAGTGCACTTTTCGTTTTTGTTTGGTAAATCAGGAGCAAAATGTATAACACTCGATATTAATTTATAACGCTCTAGATATTTTGCAAGAGTAGCAAGATTACCCTAAAATGAATAGCTATTATATCATTTATATATTTATATATATATATATATATATATATATTAATATATATATATATATATTATATAATATATATAATAAATTTTTTTGTAATTAGTATATATATATATATAAATATATATATATATTTATATATTATATATATTATATCATTTGATAGGTGAAGTGTGAATTCACTCGATATATGTACTTATGAAGAATACAAATGTGTACTAGCACTGCTACAAAAATGTTAAATTACTCTTAAAATGTTCGATTGAGCAACAAAATTTGACAGATCGAGAGCAAATCTGGATTGAATCCAGATTAACCACAAAGTCGAGTTCGCTGGCGAATATTTTTCGTTAACGTCTTATGATTAAAATAAAGGTTTAAGGATTGGATATATATAATATTTGTTGAATTACATAGAAATTTATAATTATTATATATGTAAAGCTTACAGCTATGGTATTTTGACCATCTGCTTACTTAAAAAATCTCCAAAATAATATATAAGTAAATGTAAAGCACGGTACACGATTCACTAGTTTTTATTGTTTTCCGATATAAGACCACCTATATATTCTGACAGTTACCTTTCATAATTGATTAGTGCCTTACTGTGCAACTGCTCTCGATTGATTCATGTTTTGTTTTTGGATGTAGGTCCAGAGCAAGTAACTTGACAACTACTACACTCTAATGATTAGTTTTTTATGTTTTTGTACATAAGTCTATCCTAAATATTGTTAGCTTAATGTATTGATATTTGTTTGTAATATAAGGGTACCCTATACATTTTGACTGATACCGTTCTCAGGTGGTTAATATTTTGCTTCTGTATCGTGGTCCATCTGATAGGTATATTTTCACTGCTACTGTTCTTTTTACGAATATTAGTGCACGTCAATTAATTAGTTTTTTACTCTTTATTGTGGATCCTTTGCATAAGGTGAAACCTTTCTATCTTATATATAATATTTTGACTGTTACCATTCTCAATTTATTAGTTTTTGTTATTTTAGTTTATTAGTTTTCCAATTGATTGTTTTTTTGTCACGATCATTTTCAAATGTTCAGTTTCTTGGTTTCGGATATAAATTTACCTCATTTTATAGATTTCTTACTAAATCAAAATATTATTTTTCTCCTCATTTTCACTTTGCGAACAAACAATAACGAAGAAGTACTTTTTCATTTAAACGATACTAGCTTTGCCGTACTTCATACATAAATAACAAATCAATTTAAGTATTTTAGTTGGAATTTTAATATTATTGTACAAATTAAATTCTATTGTCTATTATTTGCTTAAACACAAATGAGTACCTACTCGCCTGCCCCGATATGGCCACAATCTTGCTCCTCCAAGTTGCCGAAAAGATTTATTAATAAACATTTTTGGGTTTCCTTTAGAAATTCCAAGCCAACAAAAGCGTCAACAAATTGTTGTGTGAAAAATTGACTTTTAGCGTTGATGCCATATACGCCCATAACAGACCAACAACCTAACCGAGCCACCATTTCCTGTGTCCCACTATTATTCAACTACATCAGGAATTGCTACCAGAATTGCTGATATTAAATAACTTGCAAAATTCATTGTGCTGAAATAATAAGGCAAAGCCACGAACTCAAGCCAGCACAAATAACAAATAAATTTAACAAATGCTCCTACTTTCCACAGCAACCGATTTAATGAAACTAAATGAATATGAACGGCGAACGGCGGACGGCGGAAGGCGAACGGCGGACTGCGGACGGGAAAAGGACTAAAACACGCTCCAATTGAAGTTAAATATTTTGTTTTCTTAGTTGATGAAACCCAACAAAGTGCTAGGGTGTCAAAAACGGGAAAGCGCACAGCATAATAAGCTTATAGATAAAAACAAAACAAGCCCAACAAAACAATCTCTACAAGTATATTATATATAAAAATTTATTGTTATTATTATTTTTGCTTAAATACAATAGCTTAAGCCAACAAACAATTGAAAAGCGTCAAAGAAGTCCTTAAAAGTACGGGTAGTTTGCATGTTTTTCAAGGCACACTACATAAATTCTCCACCCAACCAAACCCAACCGAACCGAACCCAACCAGAAATCTTGATTTCTTTTCCTTAAGTGCTCTTCCATTGCAGCTACCGAAGAAGTTGCTATACAAATACCCACTCGTAGCTTAAAAAAATATATAAATTTCTTAATAAATTAGATTTTTCAACAATTCTATGATTGCTTGTATGCGATACAATAAGTCTTGTACTCGTACTCTATGTCTATGTGTGTATGTATATGTGTTTATGTGTATATGTGCGTGCTCACATGAGTCAAATATCCAGTGGAGATACTTTATTTGTATCCCATAAACAAATAATCATAATTTTCTTTACTTTTCATTGCTTATTTGAGTTGAGTTTCCTGCAATTCCATTTTTCCTTGTATTTTTCCTTTGTTTGTTATTGATATTTGCCAATATATTAACAAGAAACCCTCCACAACCACTTTGCCAATCGTTCGAATGAATTGAATAAATGAGATATTTCGGCGTATTTACTTTCAACTACAACTTTCAATAATAATTTGTATCTTTTATTAGATGTAGACAGTTATATATATAGCAATTGCTGATTTCAAATCAAGAAACATAAATAAAAAGTATTATTTGTAAGTTCAATGTAAGACACAAATGGTTATAATTATGATCTTGTGCTATATTTCAATGAAAATAATACGAGTATAAAAAAGATATTTATATATAAATAAAACTTGAATAGAAGTATTTTTGATGAGATACAATTTGCAATTGATAACAACATGTGCTGTTCAAAATTAATTCAAAATTTCCAATTAAATTTAATGCATAAGAAATCTTCGATTTAATAATTGAAAACAATAGCTTCTACCATTTATGGCTTGATATTATATTTATTAAATTTAATACTTATTATGTGAAAAATAAACACAATTATTCTATTTAATTAATATTTTATTCAAATTACAGTAAAAAATAATGCAAAATTCTGTTGCTCAACACATATCCAACTGAATTTTTTTTCTTCCTTTTTTTTATAATATAAATTTGTTCAAATATAAATATAAATATGCAAATATATACGTACCGATATGCACATATATATAAACAATAAAAGTTTAAAAGTTCAAAGGAATTTTCTTTTCAATTCAAATATTTGCATTATTAATTCTTATCAGCTTGAATGCAGCTGGATTTGATGATTGAGAAAACAATGACTTCTAGTAAGTTAAGGTGTCATAACACAACAAAAAATATAAATATATATATTAAATTATTTTATACTAAGCATGACTTCATGCACAATGAGATACATGTATTTTATATTATATTAATCTCACAACCATTAAAACATCGACACCCAACCGAATAATCCAACAAAATTTCTCGTAAATAAGCAATAGAACAAATGTTATAAAATAGTTGAAATAAATAAAATGCTAGTATTTAACACATCAAGACACTGGGAACATGGGTGATCTTTTATAAATAAACCTAACTAACAAAGCAAAAAAAACGTCTTCAAATGTTCGACAAAATATGTTGGTTCAATGTTGGAATATATCATTGTATTCTTAACACTACATGACATACCCACAATTTAAAGGCTGTGGATTTTCTATTTACCTACTTCTTTTGTATATAAATGTATTATCGTTGTATATACATATGTATCACCACAAACCTGAGATATAGCTATAGTTATAGATTAGAAATTGTTATATCTCTAAAAAGAAAAGACATATTTTGAAGTCATTCATATTTTTAAATACAATTCATTCATTGAAGACCCAATAACCCAAATAAGCTCAAAAAGTTTTCTTAATATGAAGCTCAGGTCAACGCATTTGTTAGAGCAACTCAAGTGAAAATGAATATACTAAGCCTACTAAAAGTCCATACCATATATAGGCCATAAGTTTTTCTCCTTTTCATTTACAAAGCCAAGAATCTGGCTAATATCGCCGAATGAAATGAGAAGAATGGGGCTCCTAGAAACTTAAACCTAGTTCTGGTCAGACCCGGACAAATACACATCAAGTGTTGTGTTGTCATTTCATTTGTCATTGCTGGTAGACACGCCCTGCAAGAAGTACTACAGGGTAAGCCGAGTCTAGCTCCATGCCGTCCTATGGACCAGTATCCTGTAAAGACAGATATTAACCTAGATACCTCTGATTTGCTTCTGCAAATTAAGTCAGAGGTTCTATATTTGGAATAGATTGGCCAAGTAGCCCATGACCCTGCTGCTGAGCCGATAACGGTCCACTCACTATTTTCCTGTCGCAAAAAATTGTCATAGATTAAC